GAAAAGGTTTGTTCTAAACAGACTTCAGTTTTAAATAATTACTTTAATATAGGGGAGAAAACAAGCTTTAAAAGTTACCTAGAATTCCAAGATGATCTTCATTTTCTGTCCTCTCTTTGCGAGTTGTAAAGGTGTCATCTGTATATTCTCGGTATACAGCTTTCTTGTATTTCGAACCGATAAATGTTCTACTTTTATTTAAAAATGCATCACCAGGGCTTTGGGAGATCAAAGAAACATAATGTCATGACAATACACTTCCTGGGTAGTACATCCAGTAACTAAAGATGGCCGTACACTGTACAAATATCTTGAGGAACAGCCTGAAATTTGCACAGAGTGTGCTTCTGTCGGCACCCTTTTGGCCTGCATCCCTCAATCAACAGATCGATGGAGCCGGCCAATGAGCTGCCGGCTCTGTCTGGGTATACTACAAAAGAAACAGCAGGGATGCTCGTAGAGTTGATGGAGGAATCTGCTCTTTTTTTTTTCCTTCAGCTCGCGTGTTGAACAAAAAAAATAGAGCAGTATACTGTATGGCCAGCCATAGGAACAGTCCTATGTCTGGGCATTACTTCTGCATATACTGCTGATAGCATAGACTATACCAGTGATTCTCAACCTGTGTAACCTCAGGACCCACATTTGTCCTTGGTCATTAAGTCACGACCCAAGTCGCACTGCAATGGAATTACCGGAATTAGGGTACCGCACGTTCTGGTGAGGGCATACGAGCCATTGCTTGTTCAGCTCCCTTGCATGCCCTGTAGAGGTGCAGGGAGCCAGAATGTGATGTCACTCCGGTCCAGGCACCTCTATAGGACATGTGAGGGAGATTTAAGCAATGCATGTATGGAGGGGGCTCCCTCGCGGCCCTAGCTCCATCCCATCCCACCTCAAGCTGGCATTAGGCACCAGGCTGCAGATTTTGAATGGCTGCTTGGCGCGAGAACTGACAGTGCTGTGATAGGGGGAGGCAGAGGAGCCTCTCACCTAGAAAAGTGGAAGGCATGCGGCGACCCACTGAACACGGGGTCGTGACCCACTTTTGGGTCCCGACCCACCAGTTGAGAGCCAAGGGACTATACCATATAGAGACATAAACATACAGTTATATATATATATAGTACATTATTTTTTGGGGGGATCTCCCTACAGCATATTTTTAGGAATGTATTTATAATGCTTTTTTTGTAAAGCACATATTATTTGTATTATATATATATATATTACACATTAGTTAGTTCAATAAGTTGTAGATCTAATTATCTAACAGTCATTTTTATGCTTTTCTGAGCAGAAAATATTTTTTTAGGAACCTATTTATTTTGACCAACTTAGTCTACTTTTTGTTTCCCCCTCCTCCTCAAAGGATATGAACTGTAGTGCAGGTCTTTATTGTAGGTAGCAGAGCCTCAAGTTTTACATTTTTTATTCTGCTACTTGATCCTTAACCTCTTGCAATTAAGTCTGAAAGTTTTTCTCCTGATCTTCCACTACACTGGTACAACTTGTTTGTTCCGTGAAGTCTGGCAGGAGTATGTAAGAGCAGGTAAGGAGGGGATTCGGGAGAAAACTGCTGAAATAATCAGCCTACTGTTATCCTTTCAGTGCAATACAATGCTCAGTAATTATCAACAGACTCCCCTGCCTCACGTCAAAATGGAGAATAGACTCAACCAAATGAACATGGTCTTACTAGGCACTGCCATATGGGGCATGAGCAAATTGGATTGGGAAAATCTGATCCATATAATTAATATAGCACATAACTTTTTTTGTATTTATATTGAAACTAACATGCAAGTATGAGCACTTTGTGATCCACTATGATACTAAATACACTGTATTCTTCTTATTTTGGCAATAGTCAATTTAGATCAAGAAACTTAGGTCTCCTCATTGGAAAACCACCCTGAATTACAACACTTTGGGGATCATTTACAAATGTTCTGTGGATGCTGTTTGCACCTCTAAAAGGTGCTGACGTGTATAGGAAATTCCTATATATAGGGGTGCTAGTACCGTGTGAGCGTCACCCAACCCAGCTACACGTTGGGTGGAATTTTTGTAAATTAACCCCTTGGTTTAACTAAATTAAATTGATTAAATGAACCCATTCCAACTCTGAGACTTGACTGGGGTGTTAGGTGTCAGTAGTTCAGCATCATTACCTCTTAGGATGGTGTGAAAGCCACTCATGTTCCCAGGTGCGGTTTGGAGCATAGTCCCATTCTAATTCCTCAGCCGCAATGTAATATGTCTTTACCTTATACATCTCAAACTGAGTCTTCTTTTGAGCACATGACTTTACCCTGTAATGTTGTCTCATTCCCCCGGTGTAATGATCTGTGGTCATACATTCCACATTGAAGACCCCTGCAAGGAAGAAAGGGAAAGCAATGCATTTTATGTTTTCAAAAAATGATTTTCTTGAAAAAGACCATAGGAACTGTACTGGCCCATAAATTGCTATTTAAAATAGGAATTTCAGTTTAAAAAAAATACTGTATTTTATGTTCTCTACTGCAGACTTTGATTTACTCATTCCCTCCAATATTTTAGATTTCCTTTGGGTTATATGGTGTGCTATCAATATAAAGCAATAATCATTAATCTGTGCAGCCGTAGGCAGCCGAGTGAATGACCGACCTGAAGTGAAGTGAGCCGAACACTGTTCGGCTATTCACTTTAGGCTGGTACGGCTGATTTCAGCCGTACATCGGCTGAAATCAGCCGTACATCGGCTTGCTTCGCGTGGCTTCGGGTTGGCCGAACATGCTGAGCCGACCCGAAGTGCAGAATGAGTTCGACTCAGCCGATCCGACATCTGGATCGGCTGAGCCGTACCTCCGGCAGGCTACTCACTGCTGTTCGGACTATTCTTAAAGATGCCGAACAGCAGTGAGTGAATAGCGGCATTCGGCTCGGCTGTTCTGCTCGGTCCCTCAGAGGTAACAAGCAGAACAGAAAAAGAGTGAAAAAAGTTAAAAAAAGTAAATAGAAAATGTTTGTGCGGCGCTAGCAGTGACAGCTAGCTCCGCCCAATAGTTTCCTATTGTCCGGCGGCTCTGCTGCTGTAAAAAAATAAAAATAAAATAAAAACTCTCCCGGGCGCTCTGGGAGCCTCCCGCACCCGGCCGCCCAGGAGAGAAACACTGCTTTTTCTTTTTTTTCTTTATTCTGACAAGAGCGATGTCAGAATAGAAAAAAAAATTAAATACATTTTCCCATTGAAAAGCATTGGTACATTACTATTGGCTATTTCAATTTGCAATAGCCAATAGTAAACTAGCATTGTACACACCCTCTGCTGATGGACCGGATGGGGAACTGCAGCAGAGGGCGGGTACAATGCTAGTTTACTATTGGCTATTGCAAATTGAAATATCCAATAGTAATGTCCCAAAGCTTTTCAATGGGAATTTTTTTGTTTTCTATTCTGACATCGCCTGTATCAGAATAAAGAAAAAAAAAAGACACAGCAGTGTTTCTCTCCTTGGCGGCCGGGAGCAGGAGACTCCCGGGGCGCCAGGGAGAGTTAGCTGTTTGGAGATCAGTGTCCCTTGTTAGCAGGTAACCAGGGACGCTGATCTCTCTGAAAGTGGCCGGAGCCAGCCGTAAGATCACGTCTGGCTCCGCCCAGCTGTCAGAAGCAGGCTGTCGGCCGGCCAGCTTTGGCCTTCAGCACGGCTCAGCCGAGCTGATGCATATGCGTTCGGCTCGACTGAGCCGCTCGGCCATGATCGGGAGCTGTACGTGCTATTGTGAATAGCCCGTACAGCACCCCTTTGGTTCTACTGAACCGAAGGGGTCCTGGGGCCGAAGCTAGCCGAAGGATCGACCGAAGCTACGGCTAGATCCTTCGGCAGCTTCGTGAATAGATCTAAGTGTCCTGAAACATGCCTAAACTCTGTTGGGTGGATTTGCTGAAGGAGCAAAGCTTGTTCACTTTGGGAATTTTTATTTAGCTTAGTAAATTAGGTAAATCTGTGTTGTATCCGATTGTTTTGTTTTTTGTTTCTGTGCATGTGATTAGGTATCCTTTGCAAAGTGAATTATCTCCACATTCACTAAGGTAAGTGAAAATTCCCTTGCAAAGTGCATCTCCTGAGTGTCTATGTACCTCCCCTCTGCAGTTCAATTACCTGAATCTGAAAGCTGTTAGAGCCCCTGCTGGTAATGCCATTCTATCCACATAGGATAAAAGCTTGTTTTAATAAGCCGGTATTGTCCACAAACCTTTTGTGAATGTTGGTGAAATATATTTTCCTTGACTTGTGCATGCATTGTCATTAACATATTTCAACATGCATCAGCTTAAACTGCACATTTTTGCACTGCACAATAAATATGTTGTTAGATTGCTGCTAGCCAGTAGGCCTGTGAAAACCGGGCACATTCATTAGCCCATTTTCACGCGATGGGAGTAATTAATCTGGAATCTGTAGCAGTTGCCCATATTAACCAATCAGTTTCTCTCTTCAGTTCAGTTAAACTTTGGAAATAAAAGATGGACGCTGATTATTTGCTATAGGCAGCTGCTCATGATTTTGTAGCAACCATGGCTCCCTCCATAGATACAATGGAGAAATTAGTGTAGCCACAAGGACAGGAGTGTGCTTTGCAGAATTAACAGGTAGAAAGAAAGGGAAAAGCCTGAAAAAAAGATATTTAATAACTTTTATATAACATATTATGCAGCACACCACTTTGCACAGCATGTGTGTTGTAGTGCGCTGCAGTGCAGGTGCATAGCCCACTATTTTTAACCATCCACCCCTGGCGTCAGTGTAATGAAACATTGTAAGGGGGGCTTAACATTTTTTACACATTCCCAAATTGTCAGGGGACTTCTATTGCTGACCTCCTTCCTAAAATGCTACTTGTCTGGATGTTCATTGCCTTCAGTGCTTTGTGAGCCAGTGACTTAGAACAAGGGTACAACAATGAATAATGATGCAAATGTGGAAAGTCAGATATCTTTATCTGCATACCAGTTCCATGGCAGTGCCTCAAATAACTAAAGCAATGGGGTCAGCATGACAGCCAGGCAGCAAGCTTTTTCAGATGGACAGCTCAGCAATGGTGGAATCTTTCCTGTAACATTCTCATTGTACTATTTTACTGCATCTCACCTTCATTGTCTGGTGTCATTGTTATGGAATATGAGATATGTGGAAATAAACTTGCAACATCTCTTGTGGTGTCACGCACTTTAATGGTGTTTCCTGAAAAGTGGATTCCATGTATATCAACTTCTGTACCAAGTCCCAGCATATGCCAGCGTACGGAATCTTCGACACACATATCCAGGCCGGGCTGATTTCCATACATATACCCATTGATAGCTGTGAGCAGTGGATAAAAAAAGATAAACTCTTAGGGATACATATACATTTTTAATGAAAAAAATATTTCTGTATAGTTATAATAAGCACATCATAATTCATACCTAAGATCTGTTTAGTGTAAATCTGCAGATTTTCTGTGGTCAGATGGAAAAGGTGCAACAGATTCCTCCATCTACACTTAACTGTGCGGATGGAGTAATCTCCACCTGGGCCAATCTGTTGCACTTTTTCCATCTAACCACAGAAAATCTGCAGATAATTGTAAGGTGTATGGGCACCTTAATAAATATAGATCTCCTTGTTATCTAAATGTATATGTGACCAAGCTGTGATCATTCAGGTTTTTACACATTCTTAACAGGTGTCAGTCATTTAACACTTACAGTGCATCATATTGGACTCTTGGAAATCTTCATTATCTGCGTCCACAGACTGTGGTTTCCCTGTAAATTGGTCAATGTTGTCCTTTAAGTACCAGCTTTTATTCTCATCAAATACAGCAGGCATCATGAAGTAATTGTGAGCTACACCTCTCTGCAAAAAGCAAGATTTCACTTGTGAGATCTGAGCTACACAGGGGTTAACAAAATAGAAATAACATGCCAACAAGTGGGAAAATTTCAACTACCTTCACTCACTCATATTGCAAACAGAAATGGCTTTAAAGCTCAACTCCAGGCTAGCAAAAAAGTACCCTTACAGTGTGGCTACCCCCACTGCAAGGGTTAAGTGATTGTTTTTAGGGCTCTCTTAGGGCTGCTAGATTGGTTCCCACCGCCTTTTCTCCTCCAGAAGTCTAAAGGTGGCCATACACTGTACAACCATCGCAAGACCTTAGTCTTACGATGGTTGTAAAGTGATTAAAAAAACATACGATCTGCCCATCTTGGACAGGCAGATCGTACTCTCGATTATCGCAAGCCCGCCCCCTTGAGGGGCGGGCTTGCGATGACTGCAATGCTGAACGGGCAGTGTGCGCGTGCGCACACCGGCCCGTTTGGCATTTGTCTCCCGAGCACCGTTCAAACCAGCCGAAAATCGTACGATTCTCGGCTGGTTTTCTAACATGCTCCTTAGACAAAAGACGTGTGACCGTACAGTAGAAACGGTCGCACGTCTTCGTTCACACTGTTCGATTCTCGTACGATCGCGGGATTTCCCGCGATTCTCGTACGAGAATCGAGCAGTGTATGGGCACCTTTATGATCAATGATGTCATGACATCTTATGCAGGTTTAATAGACTTCGAGGGACATTCCACCAGTTGGAAAGGAGGAGAAGAAGAGGAAAACACTGACTGCCAGGGGTTAAGGAGCTGCAACCTGTATCAGTACTCCTCTCAAGAGCCTTCAGCCCTGATACAGGTAGTGGGCTGGCTATTGGGAGAAGTTATGAAAATATCAAAATGTCTTAATGGGTGTATGTCAGTGTGGAGAAGCATTCCTAGGCAGACTACATTTGCAAGCAGACTGCCTTAAGTAATGCCCACATGTGATGCTGAGTCTCCATGTTTTAAATAACTGAAATCCAATGAATGAAAATTGGCTGGGGGCAGGGACAGTAAAGAGCTAGATAATGTTGGATGTACTCTAGAAAGGGAGGAGGGCTCTATCTGACTTTCTGCAGCTTCTAATGAACACTGTGAGAAGCTTACCATGTGCAGTGAAATCAGACTAAGCATTTTCAGTACAGAAGAGGAGCTTGTACAACTATATTCTTTCATTGCTAACATAAATATTATGTTGAAGACATTGCTGCCATGTCAACAAACTGTCTGCTTAGATTTTTTCCAACTGCTGGCTTTCTTGTTGAGGTGATTTGCGTGGTTTTACCGCCATGTGTCTTGGGCTCAATTATGCCTCCTGGGTGCCCAGCACCTACTTTGTGCATGTCAGTGGCGTCAGATCAGTGACCATTGGTTCACTGATCTCCCCCTGGTAGCGCAAACCCCGAAGCACTGAACTCGGAGCACTTCCAGGTTCAGTGCTGTCAGACCCCCACCACTCTGGCCGAAGAAGAAAAAAAATAAAAATAAAGTTTAATAAAATAAATGAAAAAACATCAAAACATTTTTAAAGCCCCCAGCCTCCGTGTATGCAAATGAGTGCGTAGAGTGCACATGCACATGAAAATTACATCTGCACCACACGTTAGGTATTGTCATGCATGTGGGAGTGAGGGCAATAATTCTAGCGCCATCATTCACTGTTAACCCTAAAATGATGCGCTGTAAAGACTGTTACAGCTGAACTTCAGGTATTAACCCCTTCGTGACGGGAGACGTACAGTGTACGTCCCGCCATGAAGTGCCCATATGACTGGCCACGTACACTGTACGTGATTAGTTTTTTAAGGCTCTGTAATGCCGGTAACCGATGATTCTTAGCGGTTACCCTTTATTAATGAATGCCTCAGGATTGAGGCATTCATTAATGAAATAGTTAAGCTTTTGCAAAAGCTTCTTTCTTTAATTAATGAAAGAATGAAGCCCTTACATACAAATACTGGATCGCTAAATAGCAATCCGTATTTGACAGCTGAAAATAGCAGAAATTTAGCAGAATGACTCACCTCTCTGCTATTCATTTTGACAGCTCGATAGACTGGCCCGAAGTTTATGATACATTTCAGGCACAGAGATATTACAATGTATCTCTTTGACTGAAATGTATCACTTCTGATCGTCTAGGCACGATCAAAAACCTTGAGTGAGATCTGATTCTGACATGCTGTCAGGATCAGTCTCTGAGGTTATTATTAGCTGTTCCTAAGTTTGGAGCAGCCTAATAATAACCAAGAATTAAAAAAAGTTAATTTATCATACTGAAAGTATATTATTGCTGTGGAAGAATCACACAGCAAAAATGTAAAAAGTGTGTCAGTCATTTATGAACAGAAACGGAAAACTAGCTCAGTCATGAAGGGGTTAATATTTATGTACACTTACATTAGTCCAGCTTGGCCCAGTGTAAAATATACATATGTTATACATTGTAGGACCACTGGGATCTATAAGACACTGTAGTAGCTGGAGCCATTACAGTATTTTACAGTGATCTTCTGGGTCCTGTATGCTACTGTGCACAATTGCACAATTATCTTATGAGATAAAAAACAATGCAGTTGTCACCATTTTATTCAACAGGGTCTCTGCCTTAAGATGAGGGGTTAAGTAATCTTCAGGCCTAAATGTGCATTTTAACCTATTGAAAAAAAGGTTTGCCATCCAAAGCAAAGCTCCTCTGCTAGGGTGACCTTGACCTCTTTTACACATAACAGTTATTGTTTTTGTGGCTCATGATATTGGGTAATGTGTATATTAACATGTATGAGATAACTGTATAGTTATTAATAGTGGGAATATAAGTGTGTCCGATAACTATATAGGGAAAAGCTATCTCACTGTCTCTGCTGCCTATATGCGCAAGCCTACTGTGCCTTATAGTAAATCCGATCCTGACCGTTTCCTTTTATCTACCAACAGCAGATACAACTGATCTTTATTTCCAGGACTGTTGCTGTTGTCATAAAATGTTGCTCCAGATGTCATCTCTTTTATATCAAGTTGCTAAAGTTTATCAAGTTGGTCAAATCACAAAATAATATCCCTGTTGTTTTTACTATTCAAATGTAAGATCCAAAATGTACCTGTTGATTATTGATTAAGCTCTTGCACACTAACAAGGGGCCGACAAGTCCAGAATTGGTGTCTCTGACCACATCCACAGATGAATAATAAAGCCATGGTAAGCAGTTTAGGTCATGAATTGTGGATCCCACACTGTCAGGGACGTCCCATCTGTATGTTACTGTATCTCCTGGAGCCACATGAGAAGGATGAGAGTGCCCACTTTGTTCCCCAGATTCACCATTTTCTGAAGAAGAAAAAAAATAGCCAGCTGAGCTCATATATTAGTAACACATAGTTTAGTTGGACAGTTTGAGGATTATGAATGTAAACTGGTAGAGAAATGTTTGCTGCACCAATTGTATTTCTAAATCACAACAGTGTAGTTAATAGGATGGAACTCACAAAGCTCAAAAAGTTGCCGGGAGCAGGAGGCTCCCGGAGTGCCAGGGAGAGTTTGCTGTTTGGAGATCAGTGTCCCTGGTTAGCAGGTAACCAGGGACGCTGATCTCTCTGCAAGTGGCTGGAGCCAGCCGTAAGATCACGATGCATACGCGTTCGGCTCGACTGAGCCGCTCGGCCACTTTCGGGAGCTGTACGGGCTATAGTGAATAGCCCGTACAGCACCCCTTCGGTTCTACTGAACCGAAGGGGTCCTGGGGCCGAAGATAGCTGAAGGATCGGCCGAAGCTATGGCTAGATCCTTCGGCAGCTTCGTGAATAGACCCCTTATTCTAAGTGACCTTTGCTTGTGCTTTCTTTTCCAGTGTCATTTTTATTTCTTCTTTTACCTGTTACTTGCCCAGTAATGTTCAGAATCTACCATAAACCACCGCCCTGCCGATGGTTGCTGGAACCTGCTTAGAACTGTCTATCCTGGAATTCTAGTTTTAAACATATGTAGAAAGATTTTGGATCATGTTTAGTATGGTAGCACACCTCCCAACTTTGCGAGATGCGAAAGAGGAATACATTATAGCATGACATATGTAGGCAAAGCACACTCCCCTACCACACCGCAGTAACACAGACCATAATGCTTGGTGGGCACAAAATGATTGGTTCATCCCAACATTACTTTTTTCCATCACTACTTTTCCTTTATTTTGGCTTTTCAAAATAACAGATAGAATCATTTCAAGGTTAGATAAAATTCCGTTAACGAATTTCGGATCCGAATTTCTTTGAAACAGGAACTAATATTACCCCTGTAAATGAGGTTGAACAACATGACAAGATTTTTTTTTTTAATCCGAAATACGGATCCGCTGCTGCTGAGGGTTGCATTACAATACACAGGCAGGAAATCCGAAATTCCGTTGACGGAATTTCGTTCCGTTACGAACATTCGTTATATTGAAGTTAAAAAGCAAAATACCTTTGTTAATATACTGGAGTTAATGGTAGTTTTTTGTTTTTTTATCCGAAATACGAAATTCGGATCCGGAATCCGTTAACGGAATTCGTATTTCGTTTGGTTGACCAATCAGAGGTTTTCTCTTCTGCTGCTGAGAGTTGCATTACAATACAGGCAGGAAATACGAAATTCCGTTGACGGAATTTCGTTCCGTTATGAACATTCGTTATATTGAAGTTAAAAAGCAAAGTACATTTGTTAATATACTGGAGTTGATGGTAGTTTTTTTTTTTTATCCGAAATACGAAATTCGGATCCGGAATCCGTTAACAGAATTTGTTTTTCGGATAAAAAAACAACTACCACATCGACTCCAATATTAACAAAGGTATTTAATGTCAGTCCCGGGACCTCTTCCTCCTGTCCTGGGCCCTACATGCTTCACGCTGCTCCCCTCACCTTGTTCCGGGCACAGCGTGAAGCATCATCCAGCCGGGCAGCAGCCAATGAGTGGGAGCGGTGTAATCCCCGCCCCCTCATCACACAGAACTGCTGCCCAGTGCCGAATAGAGCTGCTGCAGACACGAAGGGGGAGACAGGGAGCTGGAAGTATGAAGGAAGGTGACATGGGGTCCGGGAGCGGAAAGCTGGGGACATGAAGGGGGAGATAATGCAGAGCTGGGGACATGAAAGAGGAGAGTGTTTTGAATCTGGTGCAGTTATAATAAATGTAACGTTACATGAAGTGAGTATGAGACTTCTGTTTATTTATGTTGGAATCATGGAATGGGGTTGAGTGTGGTGTCACATACAGTCATGTTTTTTCTACAATCTGTCTCCTTTGTGTTGCCTCTAGCATGCAAACCATGTGAATGTGCACAACACTATAACAGGCTTTAGGAATAAATATTCCAAATGTACTAAAAGGTTAAACACTAGAAATGAGCATACCAAGCTGACCTGTCCTACCACCCCATTTACATCATATATTTACTATTTTGGTACAAGTGGCCTATCACGACTTACTAAATTCAAGAAAATAAGAACAAGACCTATTTAGACTGGCAATATGGAACAATCACATGTCCATTTCACTCAGTCATACCTACAGATGTGCAGAGAATATTAGAATTGTATGGCCATTGTCTTTCATATCATATATTTACGATTTTAGTGCAAATGGCCTAGCACAAATTATTACATTTAAGAAAATAGAAACATGACCTTTATAGATGGCAGTATGAAACATTCACATGTCCTTTTCACTCCATTACACATTCATGTGCAGCGAATATTAGCATTTTATGATTAAAACAAATTTTTGGTTACCTTTAGAATCTTTGCCAGTTTTGTAGGCAGCACCTTCCATGTCTTTTGTGTAGCTCACTCCATGGCCCTGGATACTGTATGGGCGGCTTGCTTTGTTCCTAAATGTAATTTTGATAACATCTCCTACCTGTGCCAGAATGAGAGGGCCTAATAATGAAGATAGCACCATTAGTGTATGTTCATACAGGCATGTTTTAAAGAACCAGACTTAAAATTTGGTTTAAGCTTTTTAAAGAACCACGAACCTAAATTGTTTTAGAAAAAAAAAGCAACAGAATAAGGACATGTCCATTTGTTATGAACTTCTGGTTCAAAGTCTTTCAACTTTTAAAGATGGCGTTTTACAGATACATCCATGGAAACCATTGGCCAACTCTTGTACATGGTAATATAGATGGACTACTAAGATCCCAGGAAACCCTCACACACCATGTCCTATTCACAGCCCAACTGACTATTGCTAGAAACTGGAAAAAGCAACTTATCTCCTTGCAGGAAATCACAAAAATTGATACATTATCATGATTTATGAACACCTCATGAGTCTCCTGGAAGACAAACACAAGAAATGTTTGCAGATCTGGGAGGCATGGATATTGTTTTACCACATGGAGATGAATATAGATAGTCTACGATATCCATGACCTGTGGGATGCCCCCCCCGGGTTCAGGGTTACCAAGTCATCTACATTGTTTCCATTCAAATAAATGACTGAAGAGTAGATGGCCCACCATTCTTTCTTTCTTCTCTTTCTTCACTACCCATTGTCTTACCACTGCTGCCGCTATTTTTAAAATTCCTCCAGGGTGAAAGAACCTCCCAAAACACTTACCCAAAATTCCAAGATGTTCTTCCTCTTTGGATCTTGGCTTCTGTGTTGTGAAAGTTGAGTCTGTATATTCTCTATACACTGCTTTTTTATACGTTCCTCCAATTCTCATGTCATTTTGTTCAAAAAATGTTGCTGATTCACTGAAAAATATGCAGAACAGAATAATTGCATACAATCATTTAACATCAACAAAATATTATAAGTTCTGAAGTAACAACTTTGCATTAGCATATTGATCAATCTAAAACATAATTGATTCTATAAAGTCATTGTTTTATCAGTAAATTAATACGGTACAATCTAGGAAAATGCACATGAAAAGAATGTTCTTCTAATTAGATGAAAAACACTATCTTGGCATAATTTTATCATTGTCTCTGGATCTGCTGTGGTGATTTAACCTCAGTTCCAGTCCATGCAATCACTTGTACAAGAATTGAGAGGATATTTCCTCCACTAGGCCAAGAAACAACATAATAATATAATATGAGTTTTAGCCCTTCCCCGTTCTATCTCATACTAAAAAAAATAAAGGAGGTTTGGCTGGAATTACCCTTTCAGTGCAAGTAGGGAAAGGCTGACACATATTTAGTTACATTAAAAGATGTAGAGAGCATATATATTTGTGTCTTACTATATTTTTGTGAAAACCAGATGCTAGAGAATAATGTGTGCCAATAAAGGTGCCCACACACTGCACGATTCTCGTACGAGAATCGCGGGAAATCCCGAGATCGTACGAGAATCGTGCAGTGTGAATGAAGACGTGCGACCGTTTCTACTGTACGGACGCACATCTTTTGTCTAAGGAGCATGCTAGAAAACCAGCCGAAAATCGTACGATTTTCGGCTGGTTTGAATGATGCTCGGGAGACAAATGCCGAATGGGCCGGTGTGCGCATGCGCTGCCCGTTTAGCATTGCACAAGCCCGCAAGTACGAATGATCGCAAGTACGATCGCAAGTACGATCGCAAGTACTTGCACAAGCCCGCAAGTACATTGATCGCAAGTACGATCTGAATGTCCAAGATGGGCAGATCGTACGTTTTTTTAAATTTACTTTACAACCATCGCAAGACTAAGGTCCTGCGATGGTTGTAAAGTGTATGGCCACCTTAACTGTAGTCAGCTAATTCTGTAAAGATGAGTGTCTCTTCAACTGTCTTTCTGTGAAACTAAATGTAAGAAAGCTTGGAATTCCCTCCAGGTCGAGTAATACTGAATCTGAAAAGCAATGTGATATCCCCTGTGCTAGTAATAACCTGTAGACATGTGCAATTCGTTTTCAGAAAAATTTGTTTTACGGACGAATTCTTCTTATTCAGAAATTTGGATGTATCCAAATTTCCGAATAACAGAAATGGCGAATTGAAACAAATCCAAATTTCCGAAAACTAAATTCCGGACGAAATTCGTTAGCGGTAGTCTGTACGTATTTTCGTTTGTGGCCGAGTTATAGTTGCAGTAAAGTGACATTAAAAAAATAAAATAAAAATTGTTAATGTTACTTTGCTGCAACGAAACACAAATGAAAATTCATACAGACTACCGCTAACGAATTTCGTCCGAATCCGATTCCTGAAATTAATTGACTTTCGGACCCGAATCAAGGAAAAAGAAATAATGCAAATTCCAAATCAAAATGAAACTAAACTAAACATTTTTTTGCCAGTGCATATGTCTAATAACCTGCTTGCTCTCTAAAGCGTGGGTGTCCAAACTCCGGCCCTCCAGCTGTGGTGGAACTACAAATCCCAAGAGCCATTGCAAGATTCTCACAGCCACAGACATGACTCCCGGAGAGAGATGCATCATGGGATTTGTAGTTTTACCACAGCTGGAGGGCCGGAGTTTGGACACCCCTGCTCTAAAGGATACCTGGAATACTATGGAATATTTACATTTTCCTATGTAATGACTGGTCGTGCAGGCTGTAAAAAGTTCTAACAATCGGTCAATTTGACAGTGTTTGTTGTATCTGCTCAGATACAAGTTTAGTGTGTCATAGGTCTGCCTTGCTTACTTATACTGAATTTAACCCCTTCGTGACTGACGACGTACAGTGTACGTCGCCAGCATCGGGGCTGTTTAAACAGACTCCCGGTGACTTTTGCCGCCGGGACTCTGTTTAAACTTGTAGAGCCGACTGTCGGCTTTACAACAGAAGCGATCCTGGCGTCTTACCTGTCGCCAGATCGCTTCGGCGTCCCGAAGAAGGGGGCGCGCCCCCCGCCGGACACCCCCGCCGTGCTTCCCGGGCTCCGTTGCCCCTCCTACGGG